GTCTGGTTTCTAAAGAAGTCCACAGTGCCTAGAAATGGCTGGGATGGTACTGAACACAGGCCCAAATTTCACCTAGCATCAACTAAACTGTGCACGGTTCATTTATTTAATCTAATCTTTTTCTTTTTTTGTAAGTCTGGGGGTTTGTTCTGAACAGGAGTGAAGCATAATTTGGTATTAATTTACTAATCTGGATAAATAAGGGTGTCAAACAGATTACATTGTAGGCTGCTGCTAACCATTCTTATTATGGGTGAGTGCACATGTCCAAAGCTCTCTGGTGCGGCAACCCTGTGCTGAACCAGAGTTTAGTGAGCAGGAAGTCATGAGCAGCACTTTAAACATAGTTTGTTTGAGCAGCAATGACTGAAGAACAAGAAGAGGCCATTTACTACTTTTGTTTAAGGGTCAAGTTACAGCTAATGCCAGTATACAGTAATTTGTATAGTATAACAGGTGGAAAACTGGGTTATATCCCCGGGCTACATATATATATCATCTTATGTTTTAATTTATGTGGACTGAATAACTACAAACTGTTGCACTGACATCTGTGGTTATAAAACCCTTTGAGAGACTGGTTGACCCACCTGAAGGACATCACAGACCTGCTGCTGGACCTCCTGCACTTTGCCTACCAGGCATACAGGTCAGTGAATGAAGCAGTCAACATAGCACTGCATTACATCCTGCAACATCTTGACTCCCCAGGGACCTATGCATGGGTCCTCTGTTTACTTCAGCTTCAAATTTCATTCTAAACTGACCCAGCTCACTGTGCTTGCCCACACCTGTCAGTGGATCACCAGCTTTCTGACAGACAGGAGGCACCAGGTGAGGCTGGGGAAAACCACATCCGACACACATCAGTCAGCACAGGGACCCCCCTGGGATGTACTTTCTCCCCGCTGCTCTTCTCCCTCTACACCAACAACTGCACCTCAGGAGACCCCTCTGTTAAACTCCTGAAGTTTGCAGATGACACAACGGTCATCAACCTCGTCCGAGACGGTGGCGAGTTTGCGTACAGACTAGGGGTGCACTTTTTCCAAAAATCATGTTTAAATGATGCTCAAGCTGACACAAAATTCATTTGAATTAATTTGAATGCAACGCCCGCCCCACCAAAATAAGTAAATAAATAAAAAGTACAGAGCTGGGCTTAGTACTTCATTTTAAAAAAATATTAGTTAGTACCTCTTGCTGCTTTGGCTGATTTATGCGCTACATCAGGAGAGCTTAGCTAAAATATCATGATGTGCTGCCAAGGTGGAAAAAAAAAGACAGCACACTGAAAGTTTACATGATGTATTTAGAATGTGTAGCCAATGTTTTGACCCACTGGTCTTCTTCAGGGTGAGTAAGCTGCAGGGGTAGGACAGTCAGGCAAGGCTATAGAACAGACACTGCTCCACTTGTCTGTGGTAACGTTAACTTTGGTATCTCACTTGGGTAGTGAGATTGTAGAGGAGTCCTCAGATGTGTTGTTGTACTTGAGTAGTCTTCTATTTTTTTTTTGCAGAGTCAGCAAACCATTTACCTTGACACCGCTCTGACGTTGCCATTGTCTGATCAGCACAACTTTGCTGGCTACTGTCCCACATTTTGCCCTTGCAAATGTCACTAGCTCACTTTAGCGAGAGGTCAACAGGACATGTAACTGGTCAAGCTGATAGTGAATTTTAAGAGCATCTTCTGTTGGACCACATGGCAAATTTCATCAAACGGCTTAGTGACATTGCGTGCAACAACCTGGAACTGAACATGCTAAAAACAGTGGAGATGACAGTGGATGTCTGGAGGAGCCCCCCACCCCCTACCCTAAAATGTTCTGCTCACTCACACAAACACACACACACAGTCAGACCAACAAAAACAAAATCTACATGGCAGAGGAAATAACACACTCCATCAGAGCTGTGTGAAAGCTGCATCCAAAGTAGATGTGTTCACTTACTAAACACACGTGGTATTATTACAGCATTCGTATGGTCTGGAATGGACTCTGCTAATTGACTACATCTAGGAAGTGAGCCAGCACAGATGCCACAGTGAGAAACTACAACTAACAGCCAGGAAGAGGAAGGAACCCGAGCTATCTATGACTGGATCAACTCTGATTCCTGCCTGAAAAACAGATGTACAGTCAAGTCAGAGAACATTTTAAACCATTTACTGTATGTATTTTGTCAGATAAAATATCCATCTTAACTACTGATTTACTGTAGCTTATGATGGTTTCTGAAAGGTAGTCAATTTTTGTTCTTGTTATTTTTATTTGAATAGTGTTGGTGATGTATAGAAGACAGAAATTACACAGAAAAAAATCTATTTGAGTCAGTCGCATAATTATAATCATGTACTGTACATCTGTGTGTTTATTCATATCCATGTATCTGTACTTTTTCCACTTTCTTCTATCCTTATACTGAAGTTAATTGTTTATTATGCCAGATTTTAAATTCCCTCTCATTTCCTGGAATTACTTGCCATTTGTTTGGAGACATTTGGATCTTGCCCATTAAAAGAGCACTTGTCTTCTGTTTTCTGAGGGAATTAACAACTAACAAAGGTGGCTTTGTATTAGTCACAGGATGCAAATGGGAATCAATTTAAGAACCTTGATTTTCAGTAGAAAAGAAGGGACATCCCTTACATGAAATACTACAATATTAGAAACATTTTGCACACATATTAATCAGAGTTTGTATGTTTTTGTTTTGCTTGGGAGTTGTAAAAGGTTCACATGGTGGCACTAAGAAAGGGAGTAAAACACCACTAGGCAATAGTTGGACAATCTTTGCCACAGCTGAGCAAAGTCAGATTTCTCCATTTCTCTTTCAAACCACAGTCCTACCCTGTTCTGATGAACTCCTCTTGCACCTACGCTGACAAGCTTGCAGCAGCTTGCACCAGCTTGTAGCAAGCCACAAGCAGTGTGATGAACTTTACAGTGTGCCTACAAAAGCTCCATCCTCATATACATGTATATCATATTTTTTACATTTTAACAATACACCTGTGCAACTAGTATTATACTGCTGAGCACCACCTGACAATGACTGTTCTAAAAAACTAAAACATTCTTTTAAATTTCCCATACAGAAAATGAATTTTTGGGTAAACCATGGTGGCTAGAAGATTAGTTTCTTTTTTTTGTTGTTTTTTTTTTTCCTCATCTCCCTGATCTCATGTCTATCAAATAGTAAAGTTGGACCCTGTCTATTGGAGTAAATCCCCTCTGTAGCAGCGGTTCCAGGAGACTAAATCCCACAGACTTCTTTCCTGCAGTTCTGTTGTCGGTGTATGCCAAACTGAGGACGGGTGACAGTGTGATGGATGGCAGCAGCAAATCCACTCCTCTAATGAGCTTATGAATAAATATATCTTGTCTGTGTGCAGATGCATGTGGCCGTGAAATACATATTTGTTTCATGCTCTGCAAATTAATATACATGGTCATGTATGCAAGCGTACATGTGAGATTACAGTGAGAAAAGGGAGGAGATGCAGACAATGCTAAGAGACAATGTGAACATTGAAAAGCTGATCTCTATTCCCAAGTGAAATTATCACCAAAAAGAAGTCAATACTGTGATTCAGATTCACTGGGTGTAGTGTAAATAAAAGAGGAAAGCTTCTTTTCTACATGACTGTCGTCCTCAGACACGACCTGGGTTCTCAACCAATAAATGAAAGCGTCTGAATATGAACTGAAAACGCCAATATGCAATGCACAATTTCTAATTTGCTGCAAATACGCGAATGATAATAAGCAGGTAAAAAGAGACATTTTGATGGCAACGAAGTATTGTCTGTATAATTGTCTCAGTTACAAACAACCTCAGGCGCCCACTCAGACAAAGTCGTAGGCGCCCGCACACAACCATGTTAACATACACACACATACAGAAGAATAATGTGGTTGATGACATACATCGCCCAGCTGTCTGCAACACAAGCAGAGCTTTACAGGAACCAAGCACGCTGCCCGGGTCACTATGGCAACAGCATAGCACAGGGGAACCGCGAGTCTTGTCCACCTTTCCAAGGTGGGGGTAATGCAGAGAGAGGGCG